CTGACAAATTTAGTTATATCTATGTCTTCCTCATCAGCAGCTATTGTGGGATCTTTGAGCGCCTCGATGACATTCCGGCACATTTTACTAGCCAGGTTCTCTCGGAAAATGACTATTTCTTGAGACATCCATCTGATTCGGCAAGGGTTGGAACCAAAATGTAGATGGCCTGAAGGAATCTGGCTAGTGGAGTGCAATAAAGGTTTGACAATTGATGCTGGAAGGGCCTGGCGAGGAAGCATCGTTGAGTCCCATGGATCATTGGGCCCAGGAACAAAGATGAGATGTATATGTTCAGTGACAAGTGAGAACTTGGAGAAGCTGACGGCCAACTTCGAAAACAAACCTGAAAGCAAGTCAATCTCATCACGCTTAGTAACTAGATGTGTATTGAAATGAAAGGGATTGCTACCTACTTGGTAGAAGCTGATATTGTCCCATCAATATGATGGCTTTGGAAAAAGTTGCCACAAAGAATCCATAAGGCAGGTGGACGGACGACATTATTCGACTCGATCAAAACATCTTGGTATCCTTGGAGTATTTGTTCGAAGTTACCTAGAACGTTTGGGTTATCGAGGTGGAAATCGGACATTCTAGTTGGGTACAGCTATGGCTTCAGTGCTGACTCTTCACTGTCTCATTGTTAATACGCACATATTGCGGTGGCTGTCGGGAGACGTGCCCTCACAATAAGGCCAGAAAGAAGCTTCAAATGAGTTCTCACACTATAAATTGGGAATCGCTGTTCTGCTCACGTTTTTTCAAACGCGCTTCTTCAGCCAGGGAAAGTGGTCCGGCACCAGAAAAATCAATATTTGCAAACAGTTTCCTGCAAAGCCATGCAGAAGCATTGGAAAACAAAGAGGTAAAAAGGCCCAAATTGAATTCAAATCTTTTCACACCGATTTCTATCTATAAGAATGATTGCAACATACCTTGTGGCCCCTCGTTGTTCCGATGGAGGATGTCCGATCTCCAGGACCTTGAATGTTTCATTGGATTGATACTCTCCCTCCGCCAATACCAAACAGCCTTCAGTGAACAGCCCTTCAGCAGCCGACTGCAGGCCAAAAGGAAATTTGAAAGGAAGTTCTTGATCTGGTTAGAATGTTATCTGCACTAGTGCATTGTGTTATAAGGGCGGTCCAAAAAAAAAATCCTCACGGCAATTGACAAGTCCAGCTTCACCCAACCCTCCAAATCTTCAAGACAATAAGATTGGTCTTTCATGCGACTTATCCTTCCAAACAACAAAAATCTCTGCCCTGCGCGACCAAGGAGGTTGTTGCTGCTGGTCAACTAGATAATCAAAACACGTGAGCAACGAGATCTGATGACTGAGTCCAAGAAACACTTGGGCTCACCTTCATGTATTCCTCACGTTCTGCTTCGCCTAAGGCACCGGCGACAGCTGGAGGTGAGAAATGCTCATTTCGAAAGATGACTTGTCGGATAGTGTGATAGCGATCTCTGAGGTAAGAAATTTTGCTAATAGGTTGACCCAGTAAGGATGGTTTTGATCCTTCTCCAGTTGGCTCCTCGAACATCTTGCGTTCCTCCGACCACCTCAATCGAGGAATAGAGAATGCATCGATTACTTTCAACGTTTGTAGCTCTAAAATATGGCTGCTTTCGCTTTGATCCGCATCTTCAACGGCTTCTTGCGGTTGTGCTGCGGTCATCGACGAGATTTTTTCGTAAACCTTCTGGAGTAAATTCTGATCGATGACCGTTGATATGTCTGCATCGCGGAAGATATACTCAAAGCAGAAAAAAAATCAGAACCACGCCATGCAGATAAATTGATTGAATTGACATCACAGATATGCGAAAAAATACCAACCCCGTGCTGAAACGTAACTCTCGCACTCATTGGCCAAGACGTTGAGTGTGTCTTCCAGATCGGCAGGCGCGACGCGGTAGTGAGACAGCATGTCTTGAATCCAGCGTAGTCCATCGCCTCGGAGGATTAACGAATGTTCCTTGCTAAATATTCGATGGATAATGGCTCGCGTTTGATCAGTTGGAGGCATGTTGGCTTGATCTAGAGGGTAGGTGGTACTTGCTGAACTTCCGAATATCAGGACGGGAAATGTGGTAGGACGCGTCTCGGGGACTCAAAGAAGCTTGTCCGAAGCTCGGGGACCACCCGCTGGAATATCCCAGGGCCAGAGGAGATCGGGGCCGGGACCTCCAAGATGACTTGCGAAAACTGTAAAACCCCTACCAACGCACCAACTTTGAAGTCCCCAGTATTTGGAAGGCAAAAGGTGTCCCTAGAAGTGCAAAATGAAAAAGAAAAAAAACTACCAAAAATCTGCAGAAATGTTAAAACAACTTATAAGAGACAGGTGTGACTTGACAACTTGTTCAAAATATTTGACAGGTTATATCATCCCACAGTGACACTCACTGAGCTTTCTAACCCCAAAGGAAAATATCCATTCCTCTGCTTCATTGGTTTTGCCAATGCAGGAAAGGCATTGGCGGGATGGCAATCTTTGGAAGTGCCTCAAAAAGGAAAGCAAATTTCTAGAAGCCTGTGAGGCAAGATTTAAGATATCTCAAAGCTCCAAAAAAAGAGTATAACTTTGGACAATTGTGGAGGAATACCGTTTTGAAAAATCTTGCCACAAAAAGCTGGATCTTTTCCATATGGAATATCAGACAGATGGGGAAATTGCCCCAAAGGGTGTTGCCTCCTCTCAAGGCCTATTGTTTGCTAGCCCAATCCTATCCCCTATCATTTTTTTGGTATTTTTATTGGCTGAATTACACAAAGTAAGTCTATGTTTGATGTTTGGCATGGAAACCTGAGAACCTTTGTTGGACATTTTGTAACTTTGGATATTAGTTCATCTTCCACATGCACACTGCCAAAATGATTGTATCAGATTGCTACATCTGGCATTACATCAGACAAAAATATCTGATATTACATCAGGAAAAACTGGGATTGTATCTACCAGAATTAATATTATATCTACCTAAAATGATATTATGTCTACCATGAAAGATATTACATCAGACCAACCTATTCAATGTCTACTAGAGATCGTTCGTCGGTACCCGTTGCTAGGTACCTAGTACCGCCCGGCGGGTACCGCCCGCACCCGCCCCGCACCCGCCAGGCGGTGCCGGGTGTCTATTTTTGGGCAAAAAAACAGGCGGTACCCGGGTACCGCTACGGGTACCGCCTAATATCCCCTTAGGGGGGGGGGGGCTGCATGCATGGGGGTCGCAGGGGTTTTACTTCTCCCCATGGCCGAGACCGACCCGCACCTCTACTTCATACCGCGGGTACCTTCATCAATCGATCACCGGACCGACGACCCTCACCCGAGCCTCACCTATCAAACCACCTACAAGGAACTCCCCCCCATCGGACAACATCAACAAACTCCCCCTCGCCCATCGAACAAACTAAAAGACCAACGAAGGGTAAGCAACACCCCCCCTTTTTTTTATTCCGCTGCCACGTTTCTTTATTTGTTGTTCTTTTTTTTAGATCTAGATTTATTTGTTGTTCTTTTTTTAGATCTAGAGCTGATTCTTGTTTGCCCTTTCTTGACAGAGCAAACAAGATCGCGTGGTGTCTTTACTAAAAAGGATCGGACTCGTTATCGTGATCGAGAGCTACGTCGATAGGATATGCCTCGCGGCCGCAACCAAGCAAAGTCGATCGCATCGCGCGCGTCATCACCGTCGTACAATCCCCAAGAAGAGAGTGGGAGCCAGGAGTCATCAAGCACCCCAGCATGCACCCAGCCCCCATCTGCAAGTGACCCTAACCCAACTGACCAGGAGGAGCTGTGTGAAATATTGCTCTTCTGCCTCTCCTTTCTTTCATTCAGCATCAGCCTTATCTAATGAGTAATGTATGTATCTAATGAATAATTTATGTTTTTTTTTTTTTTTTTTTTTTTACTTTTTCATAAAGTGAGAGCCAAGAGGATAGCACAAAATGCTGTCAGCTCCACTTATAGGTCATACAGGGAGCCTGAGCTTTCAGATCAGAGGGACAAGAATGGCTGCCGTATGATAGCTTATCCCTGCATACTGTAAGCTATTTTTTTTTAAAAATATCTCATTAATTTATTATATTTCCTTTGAAAGCATCCATCAATCATCATTTTTTTTTGCTGATCTCCTTCTGATTCATGTATGCTCAGATGTGGCACCCGGATCAATTGTCCGACCTCTGATTCATCTTGCAGCAATCTCAACAAACACGCTTCTCTCTGCCTCCGCAAACAAAATGAATCCCAAAATACGTGATCGTTGGCTAATCTAGGAATAACCGGAACCGGTGATATCAATCCCAAAGAGGTAAGTCCTTGTTTCAAATTTTATCTCTGTGTCTGTTGCAAGCATACTGAACATTACATACATAATCCAGGTTCCCCAACTATGCGCAGTATGGTGTGCCGAAGCTGCCAGGCCGTTTTCGTCACTCATTGATGCCAGCCACAAGGCCATCCTTCACCCAACAGTTGTCAAGCACCTACCGAATCCAAACAGGGTCTCAAAAGACATCCACCTTCTTTATTCAGCTATACAAGATGAATACCGAGCGACTTTGAATGTGAGTACTTTCTTTATTTGCACTTTTTTATCATTTGCTGATTCCACCTTTCTTCTCTTTTTTTTTTCTTAGGCACATAATGGTGCATTATATATAGGAGTGGACACATGGCAGTCCCCAAATGGATTCGACATATTGGGTGTAGTCGGATATTGATTAGTAGATAATCAATCAGGTAACGCGACTTTTGAGGCCATGCCTCTAGACTTTGTTTGCCTGTCAAAAAGGCACACAGGTGAGTACTTGGCCGACACTGTCCGCCTAGTTGCTGACAAATTTGGAATTCAAGACAAAGTGAGTTTTATTTTATTGGATTCTTTGGACATTAACAAGTATTAATGATAACACCGATCCCTCATCCTTTGTTAAGATATGTGGCATTGTGAGCGACAATGCAAAGAATAACGAAGTGATGGTACGGGAGCTCAAGAAGCTCAAGTGGCCTCGATTCCATGGGGACGCTCAATGGATCCGATGTTTCGCGCACATCCTCAACTTAATTGTCCAGGGGATTCTTTGGCCGTTTGGGAGTCACAAGAAGGATGCAAAAGATCGAGGACCGATGGGTGCTGGCGATGATTCAGATGGGTCAATTTCTGAACAAGAAGATCCTGAAGATCAAATCAGAGTGTAAGCTTTAATGAAAGTCTTTCATATCATGAATTATCATAGAGAAGATGAGATGCTGATTAGGATTCATCCTTTCATCCCAGGCTTCCTCGTGGCCGCCAGGATAATTCCGCCACCTCAGCAGGTGATAAGTTAAGTGATGAGGAATCAGTGTACGGAGCAGATGTGGATGACGATGAGTCACTTGATGAGGCCAATATTGACAATGCTAGCGAAGAGGAGGAGGAGGATTGCTACACATCCATTTCTTGTAAACAGACTTTGGCGAAGGTAAGTCAATACAATCAACTTCATGTTAATTTGAATTCATTCCTTTTTAGCTGACACATTTTATTTGGGTACAGTTCCGCGCAATTGCAAAGAAATTGAGGTTCTCTCCAGCTTCCAAGGCTGAATTCTACAAGATCTGTCAACAGAAGAGGTGTGAAAAACCACACAACATTGAAAGAGATGTACGAACTCGATGGAACTCTACAAGTATCCAAATCAACAGCATCATCAGATGTCAAGCAGCTATGTAAGTCTTTATCAGTATCTTTACAGTTGGGTGTGATATACTGTTGAACTGACTCAATGTGCTATATTCATGAAGTCTTGAGTGGCAGCGCCACAAAACGTATGGGATCGACCGTGTGCATTATTTGGATCAGTCAGACCTGGACTTAGCTCACGATCTAGCCAAGGTCCTCAACCTGTTTCACAATATCACACTTCAGATATCCAAAGCAGGCTCGGCTCGATTGTCAAACAAAGTAATATTTATCGACCAAATCACTGATCACCTCTCGACAATCATCAGTGATTCAAATTACCCACCTGCATTGAGGAATGCCTGCCAAGTAGGATTAAAGATAACAAATAAATACTACAGCTTAACTGACACCTCACCACTTTACAGGATAGCAATTTGTAAGTAATTTTTGTTAATTTTTGGGTTTATTATTGCTTACATAAATGGTGTGTTTCAGTTTTGCACCCATCGTTCAAAGACGAGTACCAACGATGAAACTGATGCGATGCATGCATAGGTATCGCATCGTATCGGGCCTTTATCGCATCGCATCGCAAGAGCGATGTGGGGCCCCGCATCGCATCGCTTGCATTGGATTCTTCAATACAGTGTATCAGTATCGCATCGGCAAAGCGATGCGATGCACCATAATTTGGTGGCATTGGTTTGCATCGCTTTCCGATACGATGCTGATGCAATGCATCACTTTTTTGATGCAATGCATCGCTTTTTCGATGCGATACCAATACATGGCTATTTATCGCATCGCATCGCATCGTTTCACCGTTGCGAGTACTTCAAGCTAGCAAAATGGGAACCCGAATGGATAGCCGAAGCAATACGCCTAGCTCGTGAAATGTGGGTATCAAATTACAAGCCCCGGCCAATCACTCCTGCCTCCTCTTCTCCAACTACTAGCTCAAAGGTAAGTTCTTAACACCTTCCCTCCCATCTCAACCTCTGTATAATCCCCTGATCTAATGCTCTCTTGCCTTTCTGTAGCCCATAACTCTTACGCTTGCCAGCCTTGGAAGAGCAGCTGCCGCCCGCGGGGGAGAAAACTCATCCGATGCATTTGACATGTGGCTCGCCGGTGGACTTGTCCTGAATGGTAATGACCCAGTGAATCCACTGAAGTGGTGGATGGAACAGAAGCGTTCTGGTAACTCACACGGAGGCCTTGTGCATATGGCGCTAGACGTTTTAGGCTGCCCAGGTAAGTTAAGCTGTTAATTATAAATTATTAAACTCATCCTGTGATAATGATTGAATTTGACTATGTCTAACATCTCTATCATATTCTATTTGAATTTTTTTTAGCAACATCGGTGGATGTTGAGCGAGCGTTCAGCTTTGGCCGGGATTATGTTTCGGCAAAAAGGCACCGACTCGATTCTTGTTCAATAAGTAGGGGTATGACGGTGGCCTTCTACTCCAAGAACTCCAAAATCAAAGAAGGTACCTTGACTGCATGGAAACAGGGACTCAACAATGACACAAAGTCTAGGCAGAAATCCAAAAGGAAGGTGATAGTTTTGGATGACAATGATGACTTGTCCAATTAATTATTAGTTGTAGATAGTTTACAATAGATTATTAAATCAATAAATATGAAAAAAGAAAAGTAAGATTCTTTCAATTAGATGTAGATATTTTACAACAGATATGGAAAAATGCCAAAGAAGTTAACCCAAGTCACTGACTTGGGTGATAGA